TACGCGTCCAGACAGTTGAAGATACATGAGAAGAACTACCCTTTTCACGACCTTGAGTTAGCTGCCATTGTTCACGCCTTGAAAATTTGGCGCCATTATTTATACGGGGTTTCCTATGAGATTTATACTAACCATCGGAGCTTGCAGCATTTGTTAAAGCAAAAGGATCTAAATTTGTGCTAGAGGAGATGGTTAGAGTTGCTAAAGGACTATGATATCACTATTTTGTATCACCCGGGCAAGGCCAATATGGTGGCCAATGCTTTGAGTCGTCGGGCAGAGAGTTTGGGGAGTTTGGCTTATTTACCAGCATCAGAGAGGCCTATGGTGATGGATATTCTGGCCTTAGCCATCCAGTTTGTGAGATTGGATCTTTCGGAGCCCAGTCGGGTTCCAACTTGCGTGGTTTCTCGGTCTTCCTTATTTGATCATATCAGGGAGCGGTAGTATGATGACCTTCATTTGCTTGTCCTCATGGATAAGGTTCAGCACGGTGATGCTAGGGATATGACTATTGGTGATGATGGGGTATTGAGGATGCAGGGTCGGATTTATGTACCCAATGTTGATGGGCTGTGAGAGTTGATTCTAGAGGAGGCCCATAGTTTGCGTTATTCCATCCATCTGGGTGCCACGAAGATGTATCAGGATTTGAGGCATCACTATTGGTGGAGGCAGATGAAGAAAGATATAGTTGGATTTGTAGCTCGGTGCCTCAACTGTCAGCAGGTGAAGTATGAGCACCAAAGGCCGGGTGGGATGCTTCAGCAGATAGAGATTCCAAAGTGGAAGTGGGAGCGGATCACTATAGACTTTGTAGTTGGGCTCCCATGGACTTTGAAGAAGTTTGATGCTATTTGGGTGATTATGGATCGGCTGACCAAGTCCGCTCATTTCATTCCTGTGTGTACTACTTATTCTTCGGAGCGGTTGACGGAGATTTATATCCTGGAGATTGTTCGTCTACATGGTATTCCAGTTTCCATCATTTCGTATAGAGGTACTCAGTTCACATTACGGTTTTGGAGGACCGTTCAACATGAGTTGGGTACTCGGGTAGAGTTGAGTACAATATTTCACCCTCAGACAGACGGATAGTCCAAGCGCACTATTCAGATTATTGAGGATATGCTTCGTGCATGAGTGATTGAGTTTGGAGGGTCTTGGAATCAGTTCTTGATAATGTCGGAGTTTGCTTACAACAACAACTATCAGTCCAACATTCAAATGGCACCGTATGAGGCTTTATATGGAGACGGTGTAGATCCCCGGTGGGTTGGTTTGAGCCGGGTAAGGCTAGACTATTGGTGACAAATTTGGTTCAGGATGCTTTGGAGAAGGTTAAGGTGATTCAGGATAGACTCCGCACAGCCCAGTCCAAATAGAAGAGTTACGCAGACCGGAAGGTTCGTGATGTTTCCTATATGGTTGGAGAGCGGGTTCAGCTTCGGGTATCGCCTATGAAGGGCGTTATGAGATTTGGGAAGAAAGGGAATTTGAGTCCAAGGTTTATTGGCCCTTTTGAGATATTGAGGCGTATGGGGGAGGTTGCTTATAAGCTTGCCTTACCTCCCAGCTTGGTAGGAGTTTATCCGGTATTTCATGTTTCGATGCTCCGGAGTTATCACGACGATCCATCGCACGTATTGGATTTCAGTTCAGTCCAGTTGAACAAGGATCTATCTTATATTGAGGAGCCAGGGCAATATTGGACAGACAAGTTAGAAAGCTGAGGTCAAAGAACATTGCATTAGTGAAGGTTCAGTGGCGGGGCCAGCCGGTTGAGGGGGCGACCTGGGAGATCGAGCAGGATATGTGTAGCCGTTGCCCTCATCGTTTCACTACTTTAGGTATGTCTTTATGCTCGTTCGAGGAAGAACGAATGCTTAAGTGTAGGAGGATGTGACGACCTGTCTGGTCGTCTTAAGAATTAACGCCCAGATCCCCTATTAACTGCTTTTCCCAAGTTTATTTCAGCTAATATGATTTGCCGGGATGTTCGGTTTTGAGTTTCGGGGAATTTTGGGACACTTAGTCCCTAAATGAGAGCTTAAGTGTTGGAAAGTTGACCGTAGTTAGAACAGTGTGAAGACGGCTTCGGAATGAAAATTTGGTGGTTCCGTCAGCTCCGTTAGGTGATTTTGGGGTTAGGAGCATGTTCAAATGGTGTTTTGGAGGTCTGTCGCTAATTTAGGCTTGAAATGCCTAAAGTTGAACTTTTGAAGTTTCCGGTCCGATAGTGAGATTTTGATCCGAGGGTTGGAATGGAATTCCGAGAGTTACAGTAGTTCCGTTGTGTCATTCGGGATATGTGCGCAAAATTTCAGGTCATTCAGACGAGGTTTGGTAGACTTTTTGATCGAAAGCGTATTTTGAGAAATTTGGAGTTCTTAGGCTTAAACCCATGGTTAATTTGAGGTTTCGATGTTGTTTTAGGGGTTTTAAGGATTGGTACAAGTTTGAATAAGGTATTAGGTGATGTTTGTGCTTTTGGTTGAGCTCCCAGGGGCCTCAGGGTGATTTCGGATGGTTGACGGAAAGTTTGAGAAATTATTGGAGCTGCTGTATTTTTGCTGCTTCTGGTATTTTCGCATCTGCGGTTTGGGGACCACGGATGCGGCGCCGCAGAAGCGGCTAAGGGGTCGCAGAAGCGGATTTTGGTCCTTTCTTCAGGAACCGCAGAAGCGGTATCGCATCTGCAGATTTAGAGTCACTGATGCAGAAGCTGGCTCGTTAAGTGAAATTCACATATGCGACATGTGTTCCGCAGAAGCGGGACTGTAGATGCGGTCCCAGGGCCGCAAATGCAGAAATCGCTGGGCAGAACATATAAATAGTTGCCTTCGCGAATTTTAGGGATTCTTTCACCATTTTCATCTGGGTTTGAAGCTTTTGAGAGAGATTTTGAGGAAAACAAAGGGGAATCACTTGGAGGTAACGTCCTTGACTTCATAACTCGTTTTTATGTGAGTAAAAACCTAATTAGTGATGAGAAATTTGGGAAAAATGGGTAATTAGGGCTTGAGTTTAAGAGGCCTTTAATTGAGGATTTGAGGGGTCATTTGGACTCCGATTTCAGTGTTCTTGTTATGCATAGACTCGTGAGAGTACGAGGTTTCTGAAAATATAAATTTCACCCAATTCCGAGATGTGAGACCGAGGGGCGTTTTGGTCATTTTACATAATTTTGCGTATTAGCTTAGAATTTAATTGTAGAATCAGTTACTTGAAGTGTTATTTATATTATGCAATTGAATTGAATAGATTTGGGTCATTTGGAGTCGAGTACTCGTGGAAAAGACGTGGTGTTGGGTTGATTTTGAGCCGGATCGAGGTAAGTGGCTTGTTTAACCTTGTGTGGGGGATTTTCCCCTTAGGATATGATATACTTTTTAACTGAAATGACTTTTACGTGAGGTGACGAGTGCGTACTTGAGCTAATTGTTGAAAATCCGGTTTTACTTTAAGTATTTCAATTGATTTCCTTTTTCCTATTTTATTTTACTTGCGAATTTAGCCTGTTGTAGTTTAGAAAAGCATGTTTAGTTAATTTAATTGCCTATTTGCTTAAACTGCCTTAATTACATTACGTGAAACATGTTCGGCTAGAATTAACCGTTTACTTGGTACGAAATTTTGCATTTAATTGAGTATTCTTGTGTTGCTTCTATGTGTTTTTAATTTGGGACTACAGGACGGCATCCGGGAGATCCCCTATACGTATTTATGATCTAGACTGAGGTGCGGGATACCAAGAGATCCCTAGCATATATTGAGGATACCAAAAGATCCTCGGGATACTAAGAGATCCCTAGCATATATTGAGGATACCGAGAGATCCTCGGGATACCAAGAGATCCCTAGCATACATTGAGGATACCGAGAGATCCTCGGAATACCAAGAGATCCCCAACATATATTGCGGGTACTAAGAGATACTCGGGATACTGAAAGATCCCCGGTTATCATCCTTGTTAGGAGTGGTACTTCATGGTGTTTGCCATTATTTTTGTTTCTGTTATTGTACTCCTTATTATCATGTGTAGATTCTTACTGTAGTTTTTCAACTGTTCTGCTTATCTTATACTGTCATGTCTCATATTCTTTATTTTATCTCAGTAGGTCCCTGACCTTCCTCGTCACTACCCAACCAAGGTTAGGCTTGGTATTTACTGAGTACCGTTGTGGTGTATTCATGCCTCTTCTGCGCATGTTTTTCATGTGCAGATCCAGGTACTTCTACTCAGGCCTATCATCCTCAAGGAGGCGACTGCTCTAGAGACTTCGAGGTACATCTGTCGCATCCGCAGACCGAGAAGTCCCTTTCCATTCCTGCTTTTAGTATTTTAGCCCTTCTGTGTTTTTTCTGTTCGTATTAGACATTCCGGAGTTAGAGCCATGTAGTATTGATCTTAGCTTGTGATTCGTGGGTTTCTGGGTCTTGTATTTGGATATTGGTTTTGAGATTTATACTTGGTGTATGCCGAGCGACACATTTAAACACTGTTACTGCTTTATTTCTATTTTAAATTGTTTACTGCAAAATTTTGGTTTTTCTTCCGCAAATTAGGCTTACCTAGTCGTAGATACTAGGTGACGTCACGATAGTTCACGAAGGGCGAACCGGGGTCGTGACAGAAAGCGAACTTGTAGTACTTTTATTCTTATTTCATTTTTATTTTTATCTTTATTTTATTAGGTGGGAACGATCTTGAGCCTCTTTTGATTGTTTATTTTCTTTTTGTGTGTTTTACCTCTATTTAAATATTTAAAAGCCAACTAGATCGGGTACGCACCGTGACTTTCACGGGACGGGACTCGGGGAATGTCTAACACCTTTTTCCCGAGTCAAATGAATCCCTTATCTTGAATCTCTGGTGCAGACTTAGTTTTGGAGTCCCAAGTGCTTTAAAAGGGAAAATTGTTTTTAAACGGTGACCTGACACACCGAAACCAAATGTCAGGTGGTGACTCTGAAATATCTTTTAAAACACAATTTTGTTACTTTTCAAATTGAAAACCATTTTGAGCTTCAAAATCTTTTTATTATTTTAAAAGGTTTAAGTGAGGGTGAAAAAAAAGGTGTGACAGCTTTGGCGACTCCATAGGGGAATTGCAGGTTCGAGCTGATACTTGATCTTGTTGACTTTTAGGATATTCGATTGAGGTATTTGTTTTTTTTATTTGCTTTGTTTGTTTAGTTTTTTTTATTTCTTGTTTTGTTTGTTATTTGTTTATTTCTTTTCCTTATGTGTTACTGCTTTATAAATTGTCATTATTTGCATAACCCTGAGTCTTTTTTCTGCAACAAGTCTTCCGGAGTACGTTTGAGCGTACACGGCCTTTTGTGAGTCACCGGTGTCTTTACGGGGGTAGCGTGGGAGTGTGGAGTGGGAGGACAGCTAGAGCATCCGCCATCAACCACGTGCCACCTCGATATTGCCTTGTCTGGTGAATCCCAAACTTAGGTTAGCCTTTAGGTCATGCTTATTTGCATCATGTCATTTACACTTAGCAGGGTTGGGTCCCAGGCACCGTGTCCCTTTGTAGGAGGCCTATCCAAATTACATCAAAGTGGGCTCGTGGCCTAAAAAGATATTTAATCATCCCTATGTGTTACATGCTGCATTCCTTAAGGGTAAAAAGGTCATTTGACGGACAAATGACAGTTTGGGGGTAAATGAGAAAGAATAGAGGGTGAAGCGTAAAAATGAGACAAGTAGGACCCAGTTATGTTTTTCTTTGACAACCTTTTCAAGAAAAAGAAAAGAAAACTGAAAATGAAAAATCCAAAAAGATTTTGCACTTTCCCATCATTTTTCAAAAATAAAAAAAATAAAAAAACCAAAACGATTTTGCACTTTCCCATCATTTTTCAAAAAAAAAAAAAACAAAAAATATGTGTTCTCCAAATCAGTTTTTTTAATTTCTCTCCCGGATCAAATCTTCCCAAACTACGCAAACCTAATTCTCGTCTTTCGGGGTGGGATACATAGGCAGCCCACATAGGGTCTGGTCTTCCTCCCCTTTCTAGCGAGTCTTAGGTTTTTGGCTTCGTAGTGTCTTAGTCAAATCTTGCATGTCTAGCCACATTCGACCACATCGGTTGTTTTTGCAAAATGGGATCATTTTCGCAGAAGTGGTTCAGTTGCCCATGTCTTAGGTCCTAGGTTCACAACTAGGTGTCATATTACTTTAAGGCTCATTCCTGTTGAATTTGCATGTCTAGCCACTTTTGGCCACATCGGCCATTCTTGCAAACTGGGGTCATTTTCGTGAAGTGTTTCATTGACCCATGTCTTAACACAACTAAGTGTACCACTATCTTAAGGTCCGTCCTTTTTGAGTTTGCATCTTTAGCCACTTCTGCCCATATCGGTCGTTTTTGCAAAAATGGATCATTTCTGCAAATTAATTTTGGGCCACGATTATTGAGAGTTTGAATCCATGTAAGCCTTAGTGAGGCATTTTCCTTAGAGGTCAATCTTGTTGAGTTTACACTTATAGTCACCCTTGGCCACATAGGCCATTTTGCAAAAATAGCCCAATCATGGCTTGTATATGTCCACATAGTGTCTCGAGTCACTAACTCCATCGGTCTTATTTTCTCATTCATGTATGGATCCATTTAATAGAGCTCAAGCATGACAGACACCCCAAGACCATCCAATCAGAACCACTGCATTCAGAAGCTACTTGAGGAGATTTGTTTTTATATTCTTGAGTCTCTTTTCATGTTTTCTTTTACTTTCTAGTCTTGTCCAGTAGTATCGATTCTTTTAGGTTGTGTCCTAGTCTAGTTGACTTCGTCGAGTCTTTTGTTATCGTATTTCCTATTTTTGTATGTGAAAACCAAAAAAATTATAAATGAAAAATCCAAAAAGATTTTTGTTTTTTTTAGTTTATTTTATCCATTTTTTTTCTGAACTACGCTTGATCTGATTCCTAAGTGACATCATATGTAGGAAACCTACATAGGGTTCGATCAAATCATTTTTAAAAGTTAAAAAAAAGGAAAAAAAGAGAAAAGTTGTGGGATGTGAGAAATAAGAGGAACGAAAAGAGTGATAATAAGAAAAGAAAAAAGAGGAAAGAAATGAGCAAATCAAGGAGCGTAAGAGAGGAAATGAAGAAGAAAATGGCAATGTGAGTAAAATTGGGATAACGCCATATGACCTTCGTACCCTCGGAGTCATTTTAGAATCGATAACTATGACTAGTTACATTGCACATAGTGTGAGATTATCTTAGGTTAAATGTCCTAACGCTAACGTGATGACTTCATTTTGTTCCTCTTTGTTTTCTTCATTATAGCAGACGAGTGGTTGGTTTGCGGTTCTTAAACTGGTAACTCTTTCCTGCAACATAAAGTCGAAGGCAATGGCAGACGACAACAGAGTTGAGTTGGTCGATACTGGTACCTGAAAGCAGTTGGTTGAATAGGATAGCAGGTTAGTTGAAGAGGTAAGGATGTTGAGACAACACATGGTAAACATGTATCAGGCCTGGATGACTGGAAAGGCACCAACCCCGCCACCATCTAGCTTCCTAGATGCTACCCTTACCCAAGCTCCGGTCATAATGTCAAATGATCTACCATATTCTTCCTAGTAGCTCCATCGTTCGTCCTCCAACTACCTTTCCCAAAAATAACCTTGATGTTGTTGAGACCCACCAACGAAAAGATCCATTGGGAGTTCTTGCTCAATGCTTTCAGCCTCAATACCGACCCCATGAATATCCTTGTACTCCAGATAATCCTTACCAATGCTACTTTCATCCACAAAATCCCTAAAGTCATACCTCACCTTCCCAGTACTCTATCCATAATGCATCGTCGTATGCTCCACACCCACGAAACCCGCAACGGCTTGCACCGCCTCCACAAATGTCTTACCCACATCTACAAGCATATCAACCACCTATCCGAAAGAGGTTCCAATCAAGGCCGTAGTACAAAATGAGAAGGCAGCAGCAAAGAGAAAAGTCTTTCACTCCTATTGGAGAATCATATGTCAGTCTATTCCAAAGACTGAGGCAATTGGACATGCTGAAGCTGATTCAGATAAAAATATCAAACCCCTTTCAAAGAATTTTGATTTTTCTCAAGGTGCGCATATTGCTCTAATTCCTCGGGGCACGACATAGAAAAGTGTTGGCATCTGAAAAGAGCAGTCCAGAAGCTTATTGATGTATGTGACATTATCGTGCAAAATTCAAATGCATCAGCTACTAGCCAAAGTCCATTGCCTATTCATAATGAGACGTATATGGTGGGCATGATTTGTGTGGAAAAGGAATATGAGAACTCTTCTAAATCCCTTGAAGGGCCACTTAATACAAAGTTTTCAGCGCTATCAGTCTCGGTTCCAAAGGTTGATCTTAAGAACAAGTTGGCAAAAAGGACCCAAAAGCTATTTGCTAAGATCAACGTGATGGAGATTTGTGGAGGTTCTGGTAATATTAATGTGGAACTCAGTCGCTAAGATGTCAAGCTTGGTAATAGGAAAGACACTCCTTTCTTGGCTAGCCAGGGCGAGTTTTGGTGGTTTATTTTGTTGTCATTTTTGTTGTCCGGGTTATTTCAAGATTGTAATCTGGATATTGTCTTGTGGCTCAAACCCTTCTTCTTCTTCTTCTTCTTATTTTGCCTAGTTCGTTTAGTTGTAGTAACTTGTCTAGTGTTATCTAGGATTGTTCCAAGGATGTAACTCATGTCTATTTTGCTTGTTTTGTTCAAACCTTTTTCAACATCTGTCTAATGCAATCTCTTGTTTTCTGTTAGTTCTAGTCAGTTTTTGTTTAGGTCACTTTTCATTTTATAGTGCTTTTCATGCTGACTCTAGTGACATGACATGAACGCATAATTCTCAGTCTGGTATTGAAAGTGAGTCTAATCATGAAACAATGAAACAAGTTTTGAAGAGGCACATTTGTGGGAAATGAGTAAAGATTTGGACATTTTGAGATCATTTAAAGCCCAAATTGTGTGAAACTGGGGCAGATAATTTGGGAAGTTAAGAGGACGACAAAAATTAATTACAAGAGAGTGCATCCCAGAAAATTTGAAACAAGCAATTTTGAGTTCAAGTGCATCTCAAGTTACAAGGCAAAGCCAAGAGAGTTTATCCCAAACTGACGGAGGGTATCCATTGTGAAGAATAAATTACCTAACGAGAATTTTGTACTTGACAAGGAACTAAAGAAAATGGAAGGCATATCAGTGCTATCAATGTCGAAGCTGCAAAAGAAATATTATGCATGATCTTCATTTTTCATCCTCAAGTTACATGTGTTGTACTTGGAATTTTCAGAGATCAGGAGGCCCTCTTTCAGCTGCTCAAACACTTTATACCCTTCGGTACCCTTTTGAGTCAGTGTTGATTTCTTTGACCTCCCCTCTTTTGGAATCAAGTTAGAGTCATAAAAAAAAGTTCAGGTCCCCATAAATTTGTTTTAAAAAGTTCATTCGAAAAGAAAAATTTAAAAAGAAAAAAAAGAGAAAAAGAAGAAAAAGAAAAGAAAAGAAAAAAAAAGAGAAAGAAAGAAAAGGAAAAGAAAAACAACAAAAAAACCAACTTTGTCTGAACTACGTTCGACCTGATTCTTGTCACCACAAAATACGTAGGCAGCCTTACGGTTCGGTCACACCAAATAAAATATTTCATAATCCCACAAAGTCAAGAGTGGAGAAATTTTTCTTAGAAATTCCATCTCAATAAAAAAAGAGAAGAGAGAATCAAATTCTCTTGTTTTAGAAACTGGGGCAAAGTTTTTAAAATGGATTCAAAAGTTGTAAATAAATTAACCCTGTTGTCTTAGTTATTTTGAGCCTTTATGATATCCTTTCTTTCTAATCCTGTCCAAAAGCCACATTACAGTCCAAAAAAGACCTTCCAGATAATCTTTGAGGTTGCCAAGTTAGACATGCCAGGAGCATATGATATTTCTACCATGATTAATGCCTTGTCATCTGCAGAACCAGAGGAAATAGGAAGAAAAGAACAAAATGAGAGAGTCTTATCGGTGAAAACCTTCGCAGGAACCGTAAGGCAACA